GACCCGAAACGTTAACTCTGTTTTCTCCTTCACAGATGCTGCCAGACCTGCTGAGCTTTTCCAGCAACTTTGTTTTTGTTCATTACAATTAATATTAGCTTTACGTACTATAAGGTAAGAACTGCTCTGTTATCTACTTCTTCATCCAATTACAATTGTATTTAAGAGATTTTCTAATTAAAAAAACTGTTTCTTGGATGATAGAAAATTTATTATTATGCAGCAAAATATGTGGCTTAAAGTTGGTTCGTATAGAAATACATCTTACAGCATGAAATAGAGATATTATGCTTGTGTGAATTATCTGAAAGATTTAATTATTTAATGTAATTCTCCAGACTAACCATGTAAGTATTCAAATACTAACCACGTAAGTATTCCCGGAGGTTTCCTTTAGTCAGGAGTTCTGTCACAATGTATACAGGTTCCTCAACTGAACAAATAGCAAGTAGCTGGATTATCTTCGGATGGCTGAAATTCTTCATAACTTGTACTTCTTTAATAAACTCATCCTCGATCATATCATCTGTGTAAATAAAATGTCATATTCATTACATACCAACTGACTTCTTTAGTCTTTATTATATGCTCACTGCTGTGAGGAAGATTGGGAAGTATAGTATGTGAATTGACGTAACAGTTTGCGAACTCACGTCATGAGTTAGACCATGTATCACTATGGAGCAAATTCACTAATACCGCACACATACTGGATTCACGCTTGACAGAAGCAGAGGTGAAAAACAAAACGATGCTGGGTCTGATTCTCAGGCAGGTGGACACCAGCAAAAGAAGAGTCCCATCCCTTGACCGACATTAACACACACAACTTATCAGGCTTCCCACACAGTGAGCTTTCTCACACTAAGTAAAAGAGTGGTGAGCACCAGATGAGGACCTCAAGAGGCCATTAATTAGATCACTGACAGATTTTCAATGGCTCCCTGCCTTCAGACCTGCCCGTTGGGAATATGAAATCTAACCAGTGAAGTCTTATCCCAAATTTGACAATGTTTCCTGCTTATCTGTTACCTCCATGAGCTGCAGTCCAGAAGTCAAGACAGGTCACCAGTTTACAAATTGTTAGTATATTAATGTGATACTCGTTATCTTACTATATTAACTGTGGCAGTCAGTGGAATTTCAAATAGGTCATGGTTAACTGCGTTAGTATCTCAGCGTAACTTCAGGGCTGCACCTTTCTGTATCATCTGCAATTCATTTTCACATTAGTATTGTTAATACTAACATTGGCTCCACAGCTATCCGTTCACATGATTGAAGAAACCATTGAGAATTAATTCTTGCTTAAAGAATAGACTGCAGAAATTTCAATCAGCCAAGTTCACATTTGAACATTCAATGCTCTTCCGCTACATTTCATCCATGCTATTTTTCTACCACGATTAAGTTTTGTAAAATAAAATTTAAATTTTACACAAACTTTGTTGTCAAAAGTGCTACCATCATTTTATTTTTACTTAGCCACAAGGCCATCCTTGCTCATGGTATTATCTTTCTTGTGTGAATGTGGAGATCAGGTGCTGACAGACTTTGCAAAATGGTCAGAAAAGAAAGACCTGAGAATAATTAAAAGAGAATATCCACAGATATCAGTAATGATTCTGGGAGCATAGAATCTATAAATGTAAACAGAGAAGCATGTTTTTTCAACTCACCACTGCCTTTGAACAAACAGGAGAGGCAATATGCAGCGCCACATCAGAACAATCTGCTTTAGTTCCATTTTCCTGGGTTTTCCCTGTACTTTCTTTTGTTCAAATACTTACCTATCCTTCCTCAATTCTTATTAATCGGTTTCAATAGTTTATGGTAATGAATAAACCTTGGATAAGAGACAATTCTTCTAACTTCCCTGATTTTTATTACGCTGGTAGGGACCTGCACTTGCGAGTTTTCCTCCGTGTCACACACCATCCTGATTTGGATATTAAGAAAAATATTTTTTCGGTGTAAAGGTGGTCACCTGAGAGAGTGGTAATGTGTCTTCTTCTGATGAAGGGACTACACTCTGAGAGCTTGTGATTTCAAATAAACCTGTTGGACTATAACCTGGTGTCGTGTGACTTCTGACTTTGTCTTCTTCTTGAATAACCACACTCCTTGCAGAGTTAGTACTCCCACCAGGATGTATGGAATTGTTTGGGGAGATCTAGGAATGAAGGAATAGCAATATTTATCCAAGCTGGAATGATGTGTGAATTGGAGAGGACCTTGACGGTGATGTCCCTCCTATGACATTGCTGCAGCATCCATTTCAATGGTAGAGGTTTTGGGAAAGGAATTCTGTCAAAGTACCTTGGAGGTTTCTGCAATGCATCTGCTAGATTGTATACACTATAATCACAGAGCATTGCTAATGAAGGTAGTGGATCTTCAATTCAACGTCAATCATATAAACTGCTCTGTTACAAACTGCGTCAAGCTCCTCAAGTGTTGTTGCTGTTCATCCACTCAAGTGAATGGTAAGCATTCGATCAAAGTCCTGGCTTCAGATGATGGAGATTTTGATGCGTCCTTAGTTTTTTGTTTATTCATTCATTAATTTAATTTGGCTTTCACTGGCTAGTCCAGCATTTATTGCTTCTCCCTAGTTGCCCTTGAGATGGTGGTGATGAGCTGCCTTCTTGAACTGCTGCAGTTTGGTTGGTGCAGGTCAACCAAGAGTGCCATTAGGGTGAAATTTCCAGGATCCTGACTCAGTGACACAAATGGAACAATGATATATTTCTGACTCAGGACTGTGACTGGCTGGAGAGGAAACTTGAACGTGGTGGTATTCCATGTATCTGCTGTCCTTGTTTTTCCAGAAGTCATAGTGCTGGATTTGGAAAGTGCTATTCAAGGAGCCTTGGTGAGTTTCTGCAATGCATCTTGTAGATGCTACTACTGCTACTAGTTGCTACTGAGTATCAGTGGTGGAACGACTAAATTTTTGTGGATTTGGCGCCAATCAAGTGGGTCACTTTATTCTGCATGATATTCTTCAATGGTTCATCCACTTGTCACTGAGTATCTAAGCTTTACTTTGATACATTAATAGTATTGATGGACCTGGTTCAATTATTCTTTTGGTCAGTTACAACTCACAATTCCTTCATCTATGTCAGGTTGATATCTTTGAATTTCCTATTGAATACTATTGCAGAAACCATCAATACAATGATTAGAGGAGAAAACTCACCACCACCACCTCGTGATAAGTGTTACTCACTTTGAGAGAAAAAATAAAAATGCTAACTGGATACTGGATATACCACATTTAAAACATTTTGACTCTATCATATGGAGGTGATCTTAACATACTCTGGCATAAAGAACAGATTAGAGGTGAAATAAGTTTTCCAACATGGATATTTTTGCAAGACCTTTTCAGAAACAATAAGAAACTTATTTCCCTTTGACACTATTATTTAATTGTGCCTCTAACCTGCATAATTTTCAGTGATCCCACTAAATTCCCTGTTCATTAACTGCAAGAGTTACTTCTATAATTTATCTGAATACTAAACAGGCAATTTGCAAAGGGATAACTTGCTACAGTGAGACTCTTAGTATGGAGCCATATCAGATAGAAGCATGGGTTGGAGATAGACCTTTGGAACTACAGATTCCGGGATCTACGTTGTGGTTGTCCAGGCCCCACATAGGTGTTATACTGGGATTAGAGCCTCAGAACATTATCTTGGTTTATGGTCACATTAACAATATTCACTTAGAAAACTACATGTTATATAAAATTATTCTGTTCCCAGAAGGAATGAATAAATCTTCAGATTTTAAAAATCTATAGCTACTGGCTTTTCTTCAACAGTAACTGTGAAGTGCAACACTCTTGCCAACTGCATTTGTTCACTTTTATATCCAAGCTCATATTTTGGACATAACACACACTATCCAGTGAATACATCATAATACAAACCTTTTTTAATCATTTTGATTGCCACATGTTGATTATCCTTCCAAACACCTTCCCAGACTTCTGCAAAATGACCTTCTCCCAGTTTTCGCAACAAAGTAAATTCTTCCCTTGGCGTTTCCCACTGATCAGCTTTATAAACAGTCTGCTGCAAATAGGCCAAAACAGTAAGACACTTGTAAAATATGTTTTTAAATAACATCTTAAATATTTATTTTTTAACAAGTGCTGATACAAGTTTCTTTCACCAAATTCTAGGGCATCAATATTTTCTCAAGCAGATTCCAATTTCCTAACATCTTTATCAGATTATTCTACATAAGTGGCCAAGAGCTCCATTAATGGGATCAAGCAGCACCATATGGACTGTAATCTATGCATATGTTTCAGTGCAGTACTTATGCAAGGTTTTGTTGTTGAAAGGACAATTTTCACAAAAGTGTGCATGTGAACACTTGATTTCCTGCAATCACTTTCCAAGAGTATACTGCAATCTTCATAGACTGACATTCACAGTGCTGTTACCACATTGGCTTCAAGTGCAAGGTTCTGCCAGCATTTTATGTTTTGTTTTCCTTTGCCAAAGGATTAGGCCTGCACCAGATGTGCATTCAGGTCAGGAAGGTCTTGGTGACCAGTTGTCTTCACAGGCCAAGTGCACCAAAATCTAGCAAAAGACCAGGCAGAGGTGGAGGGGAAGAATGGGGTGAGATAGCAGCACACAGAAGATTGGCTCTATTATTGGGACCATGCATACCTATTCAGGTAAAGAGATAAAGATCTCATGGGGCTTCCCAAAGGAAAACAAAGAGATCTTGTATTTTAACCTAGCCTAGCCTATCCACAGGAGAACATTGAAAGACAATATAAAAGAGGGGGCAAACTTCTAAAAGGGGTGCAGGAGCAGAGGGACCAGATGTACATGTGCACAGATCATTGCAGGTGGCAAGACATGTGGGGAGAGCGGGTAATAAAGTATACAGTGTTCTCGGCTTTACTAACAGGGGCATAGAGTACAACAGCAGGGAGGGGATGTTGATCTTGTACAAGATACTTGTTAGATCTCAGCTGGAGTGTTGCGTATAGTGTGTGCCACATTGTAGGAAAGATATGAATGCACTGGAGTGAGTGCAGAAGCGATTTACAGGAATGGTTAGAGGAATGAGAAACTTCATTTATGAGGCTAGATTCAAAAAGTTGGGACAGTTCTCTTTGGCGAGAAGAAGGCTGAGAGGAGATTTGATTGAGGTTTTCAAACTCATGAGCAGGCTGGATAGAATAGATAGGGAGAAGTGTTGCTGCTTTTAAAAAGAAAGGAAGTGCACAGATTTACAGAGACGTGCAAAAGAAGCAAGGGGGATATTAGAAAAAACATTTTCAGCATGTAGTTAGTGCCTGGAATCTAGCAGAGGTGGGTTCAATTGAGACATTAAAGGGGGCATTGGATGATTATTTGGATAGAAATGGTGCACAAAGATATGGAGAAGAAGCAGGAAACTGATACTAGGGAATAGAACCAGAAGATGCATGATGGGCTGAATGGCCTTCTTCCACACTGTAACAATTCTGTGATTTTTCGAGGAAGCACTATCAAAAAGCAGGCTACCCAATAATTCATTAACTTGCTGTTAGAGAGATGTTGCTGTGCTCAAATCATCTGACATTGTCTTTCAAAAGTTAACCGTTGACTGTGAAGCATTTTGTGATGTTGTGAAGATGTGAGAAAGCACAACTCACATGCAAGTCCTTTCTTTTTGCCTAAACTAAACTCTCATGGCAACAAAGTGTTCTGATAAAATATCTAATTTACAGCAAATTGTATGCTTTAAAATTAGGCAGTTTGGGGAAATCATACAGCCCTGAGGTCAATTTAACCCCAAGTCTATTGGAGATCACCTCTCAATGCTAAGTTCTGATACCATAGCTATCTTGTAATCAGAGATATCTCATTACTTAACTCTCAGCCTCAGAATTGGAAGCAAATTAGTCCATTTAGAATGACTCTGTCTTCCAATCCTGCATTTTAAAGTTTCTAAGATAGGGTCCTGCCTAGATCACCACTTAATAAAAATAGACATCAAAGACCACAGGTATAACAGCATAGAAAAAACACAAAAGAGATTCAGAAATGCTTAGTGACTTCTTGTATCGTTTATCTTTATACCTAATGTTGTGTAATGATCTAGAGGGACTGATTAGTGGCCATTGGGAGTTGTGGATCTTGCAACTCTGTGGAAGTAAGTTGGCAATGTTAATCAAAACTCATATGGATATATGGAAAGAGAAGATAAAGGTTATGTTCTTTTATATTCCTGATCAGTACCACAGTTCTTTTTCTTTACTACAGCCTGTTCTGAATAAAACCATTCCTCAAGTTCAATTAGAAGTTGAAGATCTTGTTATTTGGTGATTTATGCAGAGACAGTTCGAGTGATCTGTTAACCAGCTGATCTGTGAATAGCCAGGTTGAGAGTGAATCAGCTCCAAGAGTTAACAAAATATGTTTTATGTAAAGAAATTAAACATTGCTAAAAGGAGACAAGAAATTGAAACTCTATTTTTCACCTATCAGGACTAGGAAATAAGAAATGGAATTGTTTTAAAAAGGGGCAACAATTTTTACTGCATGAGAAATGGGTGCTGATTGGTTGGACCATTCATTGGTATGGATATGCAGCAAGAACATTTAACTGTCAACCTTTGTTCTTAGAGCAGATAGGTAGATTTGATTTGTCAGGATATTGTCATTAGAATGCAGCAGAGATTGGCAGTCTCCACTAACTCTCTTTTTTCCCATGAAAAGGTGCAGCATATGTAGGAATTACTTTTGCCTACACAAAACAGGGTTATGCATGTTATTATATACAACTTCTAACCTGTGCAAACACAACAGACTGCAAGCTAGTCTGATGATCTTAAACTGGTTACAGTTGTAATTTGTAGCACAGATTATTTCATACCTGATTTCCAATAGCAGTATCACAACTAATATTCACCATACTGTTCCGAGGCTTGGAAGTATGGGTTGGTTAATCCTAGTCCTAGTCCTGATGTGTACCCCACGAAAAGCTTCAACTTTGTCTTTTTTCTTTCCTCAAAGCTTAATTTCTTTTTAAGCAGTTTGAGACTTATAATACTTCAAAGAAGCTATACAAATGAAAGTTTTAAACTATATTTTGTAATCCACCAGGCAATGTCATTAGACCAGAAAGAGTGGAAATGCAAAAACTGTTGCATAGTTTCCAGATCACATACAAATAATAATGTTATGTCGAGTAAGACAAACACTAAGATAAACAGACACAGCCATTTTTTGTTACTTGCAGAAACTGTTGGATAAGCTGCCCTGAATGAGGTAATATTTTGTCTCAATGTTGTAACATTTAACATTGCAAGTTTTTCTATACAGTTTTCATTTACATAGCGTGAACTAGTACATACCTTTGCACAAGGTTTTGTTAACAAAAACCCAAGGGTCTTCCAATTTGTCTTGTAGAATCCCAAGAGATCATTAATGGTCGGAAACTTCTTATTCTCATGAAGATAAAACATTCCCTCATCAGGCGAGGTAAATATCCGAAAGTGATAGACTTTATCATTTAAAGCTGTAGAAGAAAGAAACAATTTTAAATTGAGAACATCACATGAGCTGTATTTTCAGGAGTGACGATCAGATGCAGATAGCTGCTCCAATCCCTTTTATGTAACAAAAAAACTCATTTCTGACGGGAAGTTTCAATCCCAGCTCCTTCAGTATTTCCATTCTGACAGGTCCCTCATAGTGCAGAACAGTCTGAAGGTTGCAAACTACACTTTGTTTCCCACAGCAGACAGCTGATGTACGCTGAAGTTTAAAAGTCCAGTAACACAGGTAGTCACTTTGACAGCTCCTGTGAAAGGGTCAGTGAGAGGTTAGGATGCCAAGAGGGTAGTGTGCCAGAGGGATGGGTCGTGTCAGGTAATCAAGTTGCGAAGTGACTAGGGACAAGGTGCCAGATGAATAGGGTGCCAGATCGCAAAGTGGCAAGTGGGCCAGGTAAGTGATGGAGTGTTTTGGTAAAGGGTTACTCAGGGTTGGTGGGAGATATTGGGTCTGGAGTCGTCAAGGCGAGTGTCTGATTCTGGGGCTGGGATAGGGGATATTGAGTCTGGTGGCTGGATAGGACTGGCAATAGGGAAAAGGGATGTTGAATCCTGAAGTAGTGGAGGGCGGCATAGGCAGAAGGGAATGCTGGATACCAGGTGTGGGAGTGCAGTGGGGTGTGTCAGATCCGGTGATGTTGTTGGGGTTGGCAGGTCTGTCAGATCTTGGCAGGTGTTGTGGGGTGTCAGGTCAGGATTTAGGAGAGGTGTAGTTGGGGATATGGTTAGTTGGGGATCAATCAGCAATTAGATTAAGTTTTTTGGAAGTGTAATTTTTCCTGATTAACTATTTACTTAACTGCAGCAGAACCCTCAAAATTATCCACTTTTAATGGATACTTTAGGGAGAGTTCCAAGTGGAATCTTCAATTTCCTGGACAATTCCCTCAGAGTCTGCTATGCTGCTGATTCCACAGGGTTTTCATGCACAACCTCCATCCAGACTTCAGAAATGGCCATTCAGAAGATCCAGGCTATTAATCCTTGCCCATCTTCCATCCTTTGTAACCAGGCCAACACAACAAGGAGTGACGGGCGAGGAGAAAGTCCACAGACTGAAGATTGCTCTGTAACCTTCTGCAATGGTGCTCGAAGATTTGCTGGTATGAGATTCGGATATCAGTTCATCCCTTTCCCCTCTATAGGTTATAAAATGTTTCTCCATGGCCTCATTTGTCCATGCATTAATATCATCAATATCTGGGCACAAATTAACTTCACATTGTGACCACAGCCTAAGCCTTTCCTGTTGAAAATGGATGAAAATTACTGACTTGTTAATTTTGATTACAAGTAAGTGATGGCATGATGCAGATCTTTGTTTTCATTTCAGTATCTGTGAATTGTCAGTGATGATCAATAATTTCCTTGCAATAATCTGATAATATTGTTCTTTAAAATCCAATGTTCAATGCATGAAAATGCAAGCCTTGATTTTAATCACTTGTACATAGGTCATGTGTAGAGTTAAAATATTTGCAGAGGGACAAATTGGATCCAAGCTGCAGTGTCCACACACCATTTTAACATGTAAATTTAAGATAGGAGGTCCATGTTGTCGTCTGGTGAGAGCTTTTTTGTGGTTCAACCCATTCAAAAGTATGGGTTTACTGACACCAATTAATCTCCAAAACTAATTTAACTGTTGCTGTATTTTGCCAAGGAAATGCAGCACGACCGAGAACAGATCCAGAAGAAAATGAGTTGATCAGTTAATTTTCCAGTGAGCCAGGTTCAACTCCAGCCTCGGGCAATTGTCTGTGTGGAGTTTGCACATTCTCCCCGTGTCTGCGTGGGTTTCCTCTGGGTGCTCCGGTTTCCTCACACAGTCCAAAGATGTGCAAAGACTGGCCATGCTAAATTGCCCATCGTGTCTAGGGATACGTAGGCTAGGTGGTTTAAGAGCATAAAGCCATAAGATATAGGAGCAGAAATGTTTTAATGGCAGCCATGGTTAAACTCCATCTGGATTACCATGTTCACTTTGGCTACTAAATCTCGGGAAAGATATATTGCCTTTGGAGTGGGTGCAGTATAAATTTGTTACAATAATGTGGAGCTTAAGGGTTAGGTCATAAGGGAAGGTTGCACAAAAACGGCATACACTCCTTTGACAA